CCCAGCCCGGCTGCCTCTGGGCCTGGAGTCTGTGGCCACGGCGGGGATGTTCCCAAGGTTGGTTTCCAACCTGGTTAATCAGGTTAGTCCCAGCTCCTCCCATCCATCCATCTCCCTCCGCTCCCCCTGTCCAAGCCCATCAAAGCCCTCAGGGGATGGGGAAATTCCTTCTCTGGAGGAGCAGGTGCCCTCACACGCAGCACGAGGCTGTTGTAGTCTCTCCTCCTCCCCGATTGCAGCACGAAGGCTGCTCCGATTCCCTATAAACCGTCTCCAAAGCAGGTTAGTCCCAGCTCCTCCCATCCATCCATCTCCCTCCGCTCCCCCTGTCCAAGCCCATCAAAGCCCTCAGGGGATGGGGAAATTCCTTCTCTGGAGGAGCAGGTGCCCTCACACGCAGCACGAGGCTGTTGTAGTCTCTCCTCCTCCCCGATTGCAGCACGAAGGCTGCTCCGATTCCCTATAAACCGTCTCCAAAGCAGCCAGTTCTTTGCAGGGTGACAGCGCGTGGGGACCCAGCGCTTGCATCGCTCTGTGGCCTCCTCACTCCCTCTCATGGAGATAGGAATTGCAGGACACCTTGGAACTTCACCTGGAGATGCAACCGGGCTGGTTCCAGGATTTCCAGAGGCCTCTGCCGGGATCAGAGCCCAACACACGGCACAAGCCCGGCTCCCGCACGCTCGCGGATGTGACACACGTGGAAACCTGCAGAAGGGAAATGAGCAGTTTTGCTTCTCTAATTCCCCAGAAAACAGAGTTATTGCAAGGTTTTAGACTCAAAAGCCAGAGCAGGACACAAAGAAACACGGCAGCCCACGGGTCCCCGCGCGTGGGTACATCCCAAACCCACCACAGGGACCAGGCCAGGAACATCTGCAACGAGCAGCTCCAGTTTCTCCCTGGGAAAAGAGGCACGTGAAGCAGTTTGGGCATTTGTTGAGCTGTTCGGCAGATTCCAAAACCTGAGAAAGGATGGGCTATGGCAGAGCGTGGAAAGATGGGTCCTTTTGGCTCCCACCTCAGCTATCACCTTCAGCAACAGCCGCTCCCGCTCCACGAGCTGTTTTGACACCGATCTCCAAAACGACCTGTTTGCTTCCACTGGGAAAGAGCAAAAAGGCCCAAACCCAAGAGCGCTAGAATTAGCCTGGGCGGGAGCAGCAATTGCTTTTATTGCTAAAACAGGAGCAAGGGCTGCGTGAGTGGCCGAAAGCTGTGGCCGGGAGGCAGATATTAGTGTGCTAAAATAACCGTGGGTTGCTGTGCAGGCTGCACGCGTCTCCATCTGCTCCGCTGACACCCCACGGGTTCAAGCACGGCTTTTCACAGCCTTCTTCCCCCAGACCGAAAACCAAAGACCTCCTTGGACAAGGTGGGGGATCTAAGAGGGTCTCTGGAGGCGCCTGGGTCCAGCCAGGGACCCCCGGGCAGCTCTGGGATGTCCCAGTGCAGAGGGAGCCTCACTCCCTGCGGGATGCCCCAGGGAATTCACGGGAAGGTGTGAGGAGGTGGGGACCACGGCAGTCACCCCGTGGCCACATATCTGTGGTTTGGAGCAGGCCAGCTCCGTCCCTAAGCCCTCGCGCTCCAGTAGCATTCCAGTTGGGATTCGCTTGTGCTTTTTTCCAGCTTCTGCCTTCACCTTGTCACGCTGCCAAGCGCCTCTTGGACGCAGCGCGACGGCTCCCGCCCAAGCCGACAGCCCCAGGCGCTGGCGGACAAACCACAGGCTGCTCCTGGGGACACGTCCCAGCCTACGTGACACTTGTCTCTCCTGCAGCGCCATTCCCGAGGAGACGGCCCCGCGCTGTGCGGGGGTGGCGCGTGTCCCCGCCGGGCACAGCCGGGGCCGTTTGGCTGCTCTTCTCCCAGGCTCGGAGCTCCAACCTCCCCGGTCAGCCCTGCCGGAGAAGAGGACGGAGATGCGGGAAGCGCTGCCGAGATGAGGACGGGGAGCCGGGGGGGACCCTCCTGCTGCTGCTGGAAGGGCGACGGCAGGATGAGCTCAGGGCTTTGCAGGCGCCAAAGAACCTCAGGGAAGAGACGAGTCCCAAAACTCCAGCCGGAAAAAAAGCATCAGCTGGAGAGCACAGCTTATTAGACACCAGAGAAGCCCCCGGGGAGCTGCAGCTCCACGGCGAGGCGGGATTTGCTGGTTCCTCGCAGGGAGGAACTGCTGGTTTGGTGGCAGATGGGTCTATTTTAGAAGGGAGGAAGTGGAAGCACCTTCCTGGGTCACAGAGTCCCTAATGCAGCCCCTGCCCTGACCCCAGCGAAGGGGAAAAGAAAATCTCACGGAGCTCCATGTGGATGGAGAGCGGGCAGCCGGGGGGGAAGCCAGGGGAAGGGGGAAGCTCGTCCTGAGGAGCGATGGAGGATGCGGACTAGGGAGCCTGGAGCCGCTCCAACATTCCCCAGCACAGGCTCCAGGCGGGAGCGGCAGATGGAACAACCGGCAGCAACGGCACAGGCGGAAACACCCCCAAAGAAACCCCGGGGCCGCTCAGAAACCCTCCCAAGGCCGTGGGGATCCGGCCCACGCGAGGAGCAGGCAGGGGGCACGTACCTGAAGCAGGAGCCGCCAGCGGGGCTCTCCCGCCAGAGCCCCATCCAGAGCGATCCGCTTCCCTGCCGGGCACGGATTCAGCGCCTGGCTCGGAATTGGCTTAGAGACCTGGCCGCGTCTGCCACATTTCTCAGCTCATTGAGCTTCAGGTTAATCTGAGCCCAGATTTCCCTTTTATCCCCTCGTACAAGCGCTATACGTTTTTCAATTAGGTGCCCTCCTAAGCTGCGGTGGGGCCGCACACACGGCACGAAGGAGCCCCCTGCGCTTGACCCGTTGGGTTTCCCTGAGCTGTTTTGGGGGTAGCACGGGGAGAACGACTTTATGAAGGGTTTGCAAACTGGGCTGGGGATGCAAAACCTCTGCTGCACCCCGAAATCCGCCAAGGAGCTGCACCTGGCACCCCCCAGCCCCCTTACCCAGGGGCTGGGGCCTCTGAAAAGCATCTAGGAAGAAAGGAAGGTGGGTGCATATGGACAAGAGGGGCTTGGGGTGCAGTGGATTAATAAAAGCAGCTGAGGGGTTGCAGAAGACCCCGGTGTGCCCTGGTGCTGCTGTGTGGGGTGGGAAAGGTGCCATGGAGGTGCGTCCTGCTCCAAAACCTACCGGAGGATCCGGGTTCCGACAAGCCTGTTTCAAAGGCGGCGCCTGGAGCTGCCCGAGGGCTCTGTGTTAGCGGCGACGCGGCCTCCTCCATGAGGGCTGCGGAGACGGGCAGGGCGCCAAGAACACGGCTGGAAGCTGCAAAACAAGGGCCATCTTGTGGCAGTCCCTGCACAGGCGCCCGAAGGCGGCCGATTCCGCCGCGCATCCCGAGTCGTCATTGGAAATCCCAGTCCCCAGCGGGAGAGCTGCCTCAATCCGCCCCCGTTATCCACCCGCGGCCTTCCCGGAGCCCCAGGTAGGGATCGCAGCGGAAACACGCAGGTGGGGTGTCCTCAAGGACGAGGCAGCTCCGTTAAAACACGCTCGAAAAAGTGACAGGAGAAATCAATGGAGTCCTCAGCGGATGCATTAACACAATGGAATCACTGCCTGCTCTAGGAGGGTTTCCCGAAAGGAAAACGAGGTGCGGGAATGGGATGCAGAGCCGCACGCGGGGCCGGGAGCGCGGGCAGTGCCTCCCGCTCCGGCTCCTCCACATCCAGCTCCGCTCCAGGAGCTAAATTAAAAACCTGGATGAGTAGCACAGCTCACACACACTAATCTTCGCCCTTGAGGACATTTTCCAAGCGGCAGCCAAGCGCGAGCCCATCCCTGCTAAGAGCCCCTGCCATTAACATTTGCCTGCTCTTCCCGTATCCCGATGCTCCATCTCGAGACACTTTACAAATCGCAACGGAGCAGCACAGCAGCGATTAGGCCTCCAGCCAGGGAGCGAAGAGACTCCCTTTTCCTTCGTGCATCTGTCACTGTCGCCTCCCTCCGCGTGCATCTTTGCCGCTTAGATAAGGAATTCTTGGGGACAGGGGATCATCTCCGACCGCGGAGACTTCCAAAGACTTCCCGCTCCGGTGGGGTTTTGGGGCCAGGGAGCCGCACGTGCTCTGCCTTGGGGCAACTCGCGGCTCGGATCAATCCGATCCTTTATTCCAAAGGAAACTGGCCTTTAAAGCAACCCTTTGGCACACACGCTTGAGCCTGTTCAGGGTGACTATTAGAGATGAGCGCTCACCCACATGCAGCAAAGAAAACACAGACCCCCACACCCCAAACCCCAATTTTTTAGTTGCAGAGTCTGTTTATTACCATTTTTTTGAAACATTATGGTTGACAGTGGGGAAAAAAGGAACCTGACGCCTTGCTGGAGGAGTTTTGCATTTCCAAGTGCTTTAGGTCCTGTGGATGAGGTGAAGGAAAAGAGCTGCTGGGCAGGCAGACGCCAACAGCTCAGATTTTGGTGAGTGGGGAGAAAAAAAACCTAACTCTGCATGTTGCTAATTGCTAAAAAAGTTAATGAGACCAACATGTTCCTAGTGCCATCTTCCCAGCTATCATGAGGGTTCCACTACTGGAAATGCAGCCTCCTTTCCCAAGTGTTTTTTTTTAACCTCCAAAAAAAGATGTTTTAGAAGGAATTACCTCGAGTTTCTATAACTAATCCAGTTGATTCCCAAGCCAGGAAAGCAGTTGCTGCCACAGGTAAACCAGGAAAAGAGAACACGGCCTCCTCGGAGCCTAGCAGCTTCCTCATTCTTTAACATGGGCCGCTCTGGGTTGCCTTGGCTTTATGAAATTGCTGTCTTTTGTTCAGCCTTCAATGCAAATAAGAGAGGTGAGATAAGATCTGAGCGCTGCAGCACTTGTCCTGGCAAAACACTGGACCGACCTCGCTGAAAAGCAAAAGCAAGCAGAAAAAAGATTAAAAAAAAAGGAAAGATAAAACTATCTGAAGCTGCTCCCCTTCCGGCAACTTGTCTCAGTGGTTGGTCCCCAGAGCATTCATCATCTCCCTCGGATTACAGCCTGGTGATACACATTGTGCTTTGCCTTAATTTTATTTTGCAGCTTCAAAACAACAACAAAAACCAGCCCGTTCTCTCCAAATTATTTGTCATTTTGGTAAGTCTTAAGAGGAAAAGAAAGGGTGGCATACACAAGGGCAGATTAACATATATATTAACATATATATGAACAAAGCTTGGTCGTATGACATGTACTTACAGAGAATGAGCAATACATTTCCTGTGGCTCACAAGACATACCAGCTTGTATTTCAGAGCTGGTTAATAACCTCACATAACGAATGCAACGTGTCTTGCTAAGATAACATCTGCCTCTGGAAACCGTAGATGAGAGTTCACGAGATGTTTGCACAAAGCAAGGCAGCAGCCTCCTTCCTGCAATATGCGTGATTTGTGGCGTTTACTCTGAACACACACGGCCAGAACGTTGCTGTTCCTGGGAAATCTGAGAGGTGAGTAGGAAAACAGGCTCTGAAATACGCTCATCTCCCTGGTCGTGAGCTACCCGCTAGTTTGCATTCAGCAAGTGAAAACACTTCCCTTTCCTGCAAGTGCATCTGACTCATGCTTAAGGAAGACTATTTGTATCGTCTTCCTTTAGATCAGAAGTGCCAATCCCTTTTCTAATCCCCATCATACCTTATTAGTGTAGAGAAGGGGTCAAACAGAGCCCTTAAATCCCAAATTTTATTCTTCTCTTCTGTGGGCAGGGAACCAAGCCTCGGATATGATGGTTCTGTTGAATCTGAACTGCAGTTTGCCAAGCGGGACCGAATTGAACATCTCATTCTATTTGTTGCTTATTATTTCAGCCTTATTGTGTCTCTCACTAAGACTGAGAGTAAAATTTGTGCTTATTTAAACAGAAGCAGAGGTAGACCAAGAAGTTTTGACAATCCCATCTCTCATTTTTTTTTAAATAAGGATACTAAGGAAAAAAAAAAGCAGGAACTTGGAGGCAGCTGGATGAGTGAAGACATGGATCTTCACTGGAAAAAATTATGGAGGAGGAACAGGAAAATGAGAGAAATAGTTAAAAGACTGAGGCTACATTAACTTAACAAATGTGCATTAGAAGCAAGACAACAAGTGTCATTAAGGGCTGATCATTCCTAGTCCCAGGCTGATGGCTGGCACGTGCATCAGGCACTAGGTAACCACAGTGGGCAGGTTGTCCATCCATGAGGCCATTTTTTTCTCTTCTCCACCAAAAATTCCACATGATCTAACAGACACTCCCCACACCAAATGTATTTTGAAGTGGCGGGGACCATGCTGCAACAACAGTGGATCAGCCAAAGTGTTTTTCTTTCATTGAAACTGTTCCTGGCAAAAAGTGTTGAATGTTATAAAATTAATTCTTCTGAGTTCATTAAGTTCACCAGGTCAAGCAGTTACAATCATGTAGTGAAAAGAAAGAGCAGGTAACATGCACGACGTTTGGTGCACCTGATAAAAAATAAAACACATAAAAATAATGTAAAAGGAAATGATACTACAATGATTTCTATTTGACTAGCAAACTTATTCTTAGAAACCAACATTGATTAGAAAGAGAGAAAAGCTTTAACTAGAGTATTTCTGGACTCCTTGATCCAACATATTCAGATTATTTGCTTTCAACTCGGATCCTTCATAGAGAAACTCTTTTGGGAGTTTCACTCAAAATCATTACTGCGTTTCCAGTCCTTTTTTTACCTTGGTTTTAACTTTTTCAGGCAATAACTGCAGTTATACGTCCGGGGAGAGCAGGAA